GTTAGTGTTCTCCCCAGTGAAGGGACAGCAACCTAATTGACTCTACTGCCTTCCCTAGGCTGCTACCCTGTTGGTACATCATCATTGCCAAGGGCAGACAGACATCCAGGGAGTGCCAGGCTGCCCAAGAAGGGCAAATTCACAGAATGTTAGGGCGTTAGGACTGGAAGGTATCTTCCAAATCAATAGGTCAGTGTTTCTCAAAGTGTGGTCCACAGTGCTCATTGAAGATGAAGATATCTGAACTTTTCCCTGAGTCAGAATCCCTGGACTTGGGGCCCATGAATCTTCATTTTAAAACGAACACTCCCCTCCTTACCCCCAAACACACCAAGGTTTGAGAATCGCTGATCTAGTCCAAACTCAGGAGGCAACTAAAGACCATCGTGGCTCAGTGATATGCCCACAGATGCACAGCTGGTAGTAAATGAGCTTGGGTGACTGCCATATGTGTGCACTGTGCCAAAACTGCCTCTCGGAAGTCATCCATGCAGTGGAACGCGCACCACGTACCCAGAACATGAACTGCGAACACGTGTTTCATAAAACTTACCTCTGAAATGAACATCTACCTGGCTTCCGGTTTTAAAGCTTGGGGGCATCCTGGAACAACATCTCTAAGCACCTAAGCCTGTGCCAGTGTGCCTGCATTTGACACCTGGGTCTCAGTCACCAAGAGGTGGGGAGAAGGGCTGGATCCAGGGCACCGGAAAGGGGCCCAGGTCCTCTCTGCCACTCCCAGGATCACTGAAGATGGTTCTGACCTCATCCATTTCCACACGTGTTTCAAGCTCCACAACTTCCTCCCAGTAACACTTATAAAAAGTCAGGAATTTACATGACTTAATTTATATTCGAGCACATTTTTTATTTTATTAAATTTTTTTTTTTTTTTTACATAACTTAATTGTACCACGGAGATGTGTCAGGGAGACTGCCACTGTCAGAATGTCCGCATTCTTGGGCCTCAAGGCTTTTGTTCATTTGCCAGCTTCCTGCCTACGGGGCTGCTATTTTTGGGGACCATGGTTCTCAAGGAGAAACCGGTGAAGCTTGGTGTCCCTGGCAGTAGCTGGGTGTCCCTGCTGGGTGGGCCCAATGGCTAATTAAGAGGAAGGGAGAGTGAAAAATAGGTACAGTTCCCTTGAAGTAGCTTCTCAAGGAAAAAAGAGACCTTGTTGAAATGCTAGTGGGTAGAGATGATGCTGTTCCTCTGTCCAGTTTTTCTCATTCAAGAATCTTGTTATATGACCTGCTCACTTGACTGTTCATTCCTGTTTTATCCCACTAAAGTGAGGTCCTGAAAGTCTCTCAATCCATCCACTTACCTATTTACTTCTTTCCCCTTGGATTTATTTCCTTTTTAGCATCTGATTTTATCACTATATTTGGTCATCTCCAGACTCTATTTTGGGAAACTCTGATCAAAGATATTTTGTTTAAAAGCAACAATGACAAGTTCAATCTAGCTATGGAGTCCTAACTTTTGTTTATTTTTTTGTGGATTTACTTCCTCTCTTTAAGTTCAACCATTTCACAATGTATAAATAAAGGCCTAATATGCATTTATAGGATTCCTGAGAATGAAAAACTTTTTAAAAGGGAGATGTGTAGTCATAATGACACAATGATTTCAGGGAGCCAGGAGAATAAAAGACAGTTTTGCTCAGTACACAGGAAGGTTGTTTGCTGTAAACGCTTCTTGCAAAAAGTTGAATTTTATATACTAAATCTCATTTTAACATACACCGACTATGCAATTTATGTCTTAAATTGAGGAATAAACTACTTCCTCTCCCCCAGATTGTGAGTGCCTGTTTGTGTCTGTGTCTTGAGGGTGCAAAGTAGGTGAGAGGATAGATAGAACAATAGCAAACTCTATTGCTTGCTGGGTGTTCATTCATTCATTCATTCATTCATTCATTCATTCATAAAGCAAGTTGTTGTAAAGCTCCTAATACTTAGTTCATAGAAGGAGAGTATGTTATGTGTTTTAAGAGGTTTTAAAAAACGTACTTCAGGTTCTGTACTTGAAGAACTTTTAAGATTACTGGAAAAGCAAAGCATTCTTAAATAAAAATAACTAGAGATCATCATGAGATCCTAATAGTGTTAATACAATCTAACATTTATTGATAACTTACTCTGTGTGGGTCATTGGCCCACATGACCCATTTAGGAATGTCTATAGCTTTGAAACTTCAGATTCTGAAAACTGAATTTATTTTTGACTGTATGTGCTCTTACAGGTTTTTTGAGGATACATTTTGCACTTACTTGATAGGAAATGAAGTGACTATTCTTTAACTCTATAGGAGCAGGGACTTGTACTGGTTTGCTTCCGCATCCCTGGCTCCTAGAACAGTGCCTGGCATGCATATCTATTCTGAGAGAATACGTGGTCTCTGACACAATCTTCATTAACACTAATAATTGGCATTTGTTGAATGCTTACTAAGTCTTGATGTTCTGCAAAGCACTTTATATACATGGCCTCCATTGCCGATTATAATCCTATGAGAGAGGACTACTGCCATCTTCATTACAGAGAAAGAGACGGAAGCTTAGAGAGGCTCAGCACTTTGCCTGAGGTGGCACAGGTAGTGAAGGCAGACAGGGCATCGGAGGGTAGGTTGTTCCATGCCTGCTATAATGAAATATGAAGTGAGGACGGGGCAGTTATTGGAAAGGAGTGGAAATGGGTGAACACAAGGGGAAAGGAGCAAACCATGTCCTCATCAAGGATTTTTGTGTGATAAACTGCTTCATTTGCCTTCTATGGAGAGTGACACCCTTCTTCTGATTGCCTCTATCTCAGGGTTGCAAAAAGCAATTCAAAAAACAATGGTGGCTGCTGAATTTGGGGCCTACTGCCAGGTACACACCTGGCAGATTCTTTGGTATCCTGTTTCTTTAGTCTGTAAGGGCCAAAGCTCTCAAGCTGTCCTCTGGCCTCTAGGCCCCCACTGTGCCACCCATTCTGACTATCTTCTCTTCCTTTCTCCAACTCTGCCATCAAAATTTCTCTCCTTGATCTCAGCTAAGTGACCGAGAAGAAGACAATCTGATTAGCTGATTAAGGTAATTACCACTAAGGTGCCATCACTTAGCTTTCCCCAGAGCTTGTAATGGAAATATTTGTTTTCATTGGAGTTTTCAACACCAAGCAAATAATGGTTCAGTTATGAAGAAAGAGATGCAAAGGGCCAAGAACATGTAACTCTCACACATTATCTTATAGTTACCCAATGAAGTAAATATTATTTCCAGTTTATAGATAACAAAATGGACATTGAGAGGGATTGAGTAATTTACCTAAAGACACATAGTTAGTAAAAGGGCTGGAATTTCAAACCCTTAATATTAACCATTACTTTATTCACTCTCAAAGGCCAGAGTCTTAACACTCGCTTCTGGGAAATGGGCAGTTTAACTCCATTCCAATAACACAGGAGGGGGAAGAGTTGGTGTTTGTCCATCCATCCACTCATATATCTAATATTTATTGAGTGTCCATTATATGCCTGATACTTTGCTTGGTTGGGAATACTGAAATAAATTAAACCTGTTTTTGTCCCCAGGGCCTCAGAATATAGTATGGGGAGTAAAGTGTGAATGTGTGTGGGTGAATTGAGGGCCCAGGAGATAGGCACTAAGAAAATAACTATAATACAATGTGATAAGTGCTGACAGTGTGGTAAGTAGAAAGTGTTGGGAGAACACAAGAGGTAAAGTGATTTTTGAAATTAAAGCAGGAAAAAAAAGGCAGAAAAAGATCTAATTGACTTAAAACTCTTTAGAGACATGATTCCACCTTTCTCCTGAATCCTAATGAACAACTCACTTCAGAATCATACATCAGCCAGGTGGTGTTACTCTCACTTGCTAATGAATATAACTAACTCCCTTTGGCGATACAGAAGGTGGGAGTGAGTAAGTAAGAAAGTGTCTCAGGTACAGAAGTTGGCTATTGATTTTCAGCAGACACAGCCTATGGCAGCATTCCCCAAATTTACTGATTATAAGGCAGCATTTCACAAATCACCTGAGGCTCCTGTTAAACAAAATGATTCCAGGCCTCAATCAGGATAAGTCCCTCCAGTGACTCCAACTGCCTGGGGAGGCAGGGGTGGTGGTGGTGGTGGTGGGAAACTCTGGTCTGGAGGGTGTGGGGGGACATGACATTATCTTTAGAAATGGTTGTCTTAAAGCAGGGCTCTTTTTAAGCATGTTTTGTTCCATGGATCCCGTTAGCCTCATGGTTGGTCCCCATCTCAGAAGAATGTGTTTGAGTGCATACAACAAAATACGGTGGATCACAAAGGATACCAATTATATTGAAATATAGTCACCAAAGTATTTTAAATATATTTGCTTCTTTAATAATGCATTAAATGACAAGACCTATCAGCAGGTTCAAAATTCCTATAATTTCAAAGTACTGATGAATATAAATGGTATTTCAAGGTGTCTGCAACAACTGTAATGTGATTTGAAAATATAAATATCTGTGATTTCTACTGGTGACATTAAGGATTTCTTCTGTTGTGGGTTGATGCCTACATTTATAATTGATGGAAATGCTAAATTTCAGCTTGGTGAAAATAAAGAAGTAATTTTATTTACATCCAAGTTGACGGACACCCCAGATTAAGTGAGGCCTATCGCTTTCCCTTTGCCTATGGATAAGACCAATGTATGGAAGAAGACAGAGCTGAGAGAATTATAGAGAAATGGAGCTGGAACCCTGTTCCAACTGCGCCTGCAGTCCACCTTACCACAAAACTTTTAACGTTCCTGGTGTGAGAGTCAATGCATTCTGTTTAGTATTCAAGTCAATTGGAGTTAAGTTTTCTTTTACTGACAACTAAAGGTGTCTCAACTGAGATATTTATAGGTTACGCATTTTAGTTATCAAGGCTCTTCCTCAGCTGGTGACCGTTGAGCCTAACATCAATCCTATGAAATAGGGAAAGTATAGTTGTCATTTCCATTTTATTCACTTAATTCTCACATCTTCTGACTCCCAGTTCTGAGTCTTTTTTATAGCACAGCTCTGTGTTGGAATGACATTCATCCCAGTGAATTCTAGCAAAAGCATGATGTTATGTGACACTTTATTACCTGCCTCACAGCAATTCCCTACACCCACATATTCTTTTTTAATAAAATCTACATTTTCACGTTTTCTTTTCTGTTCTCCCTTGCGGCTAAAAGTGGCTATATGATCCACTTCTGGCAAAATAGACTTAAGTGAAGTCCTTTCGGGAGATGTTTCAAGCCACTGCAGGGAAAGGGCTTTTTCCCCCCTTTCTCTGCTGTTCCCACCCATCCTATTTTCCAATACAGCCATGATGCCGGGGCTATGGCAGACATCCTGTGAGTAACACAAGGAAGTAAGCCAGCTCAGGAAGGATGGAACAGTCTGATTCTTGATGACACCATGGGGCAGCTGAACCAACACCAACAGTTGCCTTCCTCCAGAATTCTGGTTATGTGAGAAAAGTAACTCCTATTTACCTAAGCCACAGTTAGTCAAATTTTTCAATATTTACAGCCCAAACATTCCTAACTCATGCATACTGGTATCTGGAAAAAGGAGCCAGTTTTACTTTGAAGGAAGGTATCTGGCCAATATGAGCCAATATTTCCTTCAAAGGAAATGAATTTATTCACATAAAAACACAGAAAGCTGTGAATTTGGCAGCTAATTTGGCCCCCCCAGATGGTGTTCTTCTCATTTCTGTTCTATCCTCTTGGAGGCCTTTAGCCTACAGAAGTCTCTGTGGTCAATGTTGCATCCTTCCCTCTTTCCAAGGGAGCCCTGAGGTATAATTATGCAATTGCTAGACCAGCTACTCAAACTGTGCCATCAGGCTAAGTTAGCGAGAGTCATGCTTTGCTCTTCTCTGAGACACATGGATTTACATATTCACAGTCCCTTTAAGGCAGCGGTTCTCAACCTTCCTAATCCTGTGACCCCTTAATACAGTTCCTCATGTTGTGGTGACCCCCAACCACAAAATTATTTTCGTTGCTGCTCTATAACTGTAATTTGGCTACTGTTATGAATGGTAATGTAAATATCTTTTTGTTTTCTGATGGTCTTAGATGACCCCTGTGAAAGGGTGGTTTGACCCCCAAAGGGGTCACGACCCACAGGTTGAGAACCGCTGCTTTAAGGACTCTAAGTGCTCTTTATTCTTTAAGCACCCCATCTCCTTCTGAGGTCTAGAGAAGGCAGGCAGGTATTTAAGACTAAGAAATGGATGCACTGGGATGGGATAGGGAGACCTGGTCCTTTGGACTAGAAGCTTCTAATATCTTAACTGGTCATCTGTTAATGATGGCTACTGTAAGTGATGTTCTGTCTGTTACTACGATAGACCCTGAGTGGACTGTTGGAGAAAGTGACACAATATATTAAATTGCATTGACTAGAGTCTTGAAGCAAGTTAGAAACGACCAAGAAGAGGTTCCAAAACCCATTTCTCGGTGGAGAGCTGTCTTTGCTCCCCTGATCTTCTTTATATGGCTGTAGACTTATTCGACCATGCTCTTGATTGCTGAACACCTACATCAAATAACCTGTTGGGCAGAGAGCATATTGGTTTTATGAGGGGGTAACCAAGAGAGCTCCACCAGAACTCTTCTCATGGGGAAAACCCATAGATTCAACCTGCAGAGAGTCCATGAAGCCTTTGGCCAGATTTCATGCTGGACTTCTGCAGACTCAGTTGCTCTTCTATGCTCAGCTGTAGAATGGGGGCATCATCTACGAGTATATTGGTGGGTGTGGCGAGAAGGGGCTGTCATGGTGTCTAGTGTGGAAAAGTTACAATGTCCATCTCCTATATTAGTATCTACAGAGATTTTCCACTATGGTCTGTGTAGAGTCCTGGAAGCAATCACAAATAGACAGCCAGAGTGTGCCTGAGTGGCTTTGCTATAGACACCAAAAGCCTGGTTTTATTTCAGAGGCAATTAAAATGCTTATTATACTAAAAGTCTTCTTCCTGCATTTGTTTCTGACATTTATCTCTCCGGAAGACTTAAGAATCCTTGGAATGTCTTGGAGTGGACAGAAACACCTTCGATGGTGGTGGTATAATGAATCATTGACTAATCCATACTAGGTTATAGCACCTAACGTCTGCCTCACTCTTGAACAGAAATATCACATGCTTTTAACTTCTTTTAGTCTCATTATTATTGGATGTTAAAACAATTAATTCATTGTAACAATAGATACAGCAGCAAATGAGATAAGCAGGAGTTGCCCATCTAATGCATACATTGTAGAACACATTCATTTACTCATTCATATATCAATTATTTATTTAACACATATTATGCTGGGTAGTATGTTTGGAATACAGGAAAAAAAGTCAGAGGCATTGCCTCTGACTTCAAGGATGTCTCAGCCTAACTGGGTTGACAGAAAAGTCAATAATTGTAAGACCCTTTGCCATTAGGATTATTCTAACTGGGAAGAATAAATATATATATATATATATTTTCTCTGAGTATCCTCTTGGCCTTAAATCTATTCCAATCAGCCTAGTTGTTTTTCCTTTTTTCTTTTCTTTTTAGTTTCTTGGTTTCTTTCTTTTATGTCTCCCCACTGAGATCGTAAGTCTAATTTTAGTTCCCAGTCATTCTTTAACATGGGAACTAGCTTAAGCAGTCTATATTCAAAGTTTTTGCTCTCCTGTGATATGTCATACTTAATTAGCTGTCATATTCACTATTAATATTAACTGAGATATTAATTTAATGAATTTTAATTTCTCTTAATCATAGTATAATTTTGATCTTTCATTGGCTACCTCTTTAGAATGATACACAGTTCAGAGGAGAAGTATTAATAGTATATTAAGGTGTCCTTAAAAAAGCTCTTTAGTAAATTGCATGTTTTCTGGTAAGAGTATCTGTTTCTTGAACAATTATAGGCAACCCTATTTCCTTGTTAGCAAATAGATGTTTTTGTCTTGATCACCTCCTGACTCTGCTTTGTACTTTCAAATGAAAATACTTTCAAATTTAAGAAATGTTTCTCGCCAAAAGAAGTCTCCAGGGTCTGCTACAGTATCTGATTTGTGAGTGTTCTGTACTATTAATGCAGGCATCAAACATATAAATTTGAAGGTTTGGTCTATTCCTCTATAGTCTGTGGAGAGCTAACCCCCAGGAGGAAAGAGCCGAGTCTGAGGGCAACTGAACCATCAGAAGAAGTCTGATCTATTTACAGACTATTGTTTCTTTCTTTTCCTCTCACTCATTAAATTTTTTCCCTGTAATTCCCTTTGCCTTCCCCACATCTCACCTTGGTCCTACATCTCTCCTGCACATCCTCACCCCCATATACATTGAAACAGGGATGAAGATGCCCACTGGACTGCCTCCTCCGATCCCTCACATCTTTGAGATAAGCCTGGCATAGAAAGTAAAGTTGGCACATTTTTAGGACAAGTCCCATCACTCAAGTCTGGTCACCAGGATACTGGAGACCTGGGAACAGAGTCGTTCCCAGATCCCTGGTTCTGATGTGGGCAAGAGATGCTAGATAATGGCCGCTTTCAAGACCGTCAGTTTCCTCATGAAAGGCAGAATGATAGGAGCTGTCCTTCCTTCCCAAGTCCCCAATCACAACAGGGAGCCTTTTGAGCCCCAAAGGTCAGAAGATCAGGGAAGACAAGGACAAACATGGTCACATGGGCAGCCCACACCTGGCCTCACTCACCTCCAGGTACACGACCCAGGGCATGACCAAGGTGGCCACCAGCAGGTCCGCCACAGCCAGGCTCACCACCAGGTAGTTGGTGGTGGTCTGCAGTGCCCGTTCCCTCAGCACTGCCGCACACACGAGACCATTGCCAAAGATGATGGCCAGGATGAGTGCACAATAGGAGAGGGCATAGTAGGCATGTGGGCGGGCCCAGCTGGCCTCGGTAGAGTTGTCTGCCCCACAGGTGGAGTTGATGTGCCCACTCAGCTGACTCAGAGGTGCCATAGCCCAGAGGGAGAAGAGTGACCCCAATGGGTTTCCTAGGAAGAGACAGAAAACAATGATTGTAAAATCAGACACTTTGGCGCTGGGCTGCTTGCGTGCATATTTTGATTTATTGCTTCAACACATATTTAATGAGCACTTCCTATATGACAGGCCACTGTTCTAAGCACTGGAAATACAGCGATGAACAAAAGGGATAATAAAAATCCCTGCCTTCTTGCAGCCTCCATTCTGGAGGAGAAAACTAATAAACAAGATAAATAAAGGATGTATTGGGTTGTTGGAAAAGTCATGAAGTATATTTTCTATGTTTTTCGCTGAAAGAATGCATCATGACTTTTCAGACAACCCAATGGTATGTTCGATGATGATATGTATTTTGGAAAACAGCAAATCAGGGAAGTGGGTAGGAGAGGGTGAAGATCATGTTTGTGTGAGCAGGGTGTCTGAATGCAAGTTTCAATTAGGACAATCAGGAAGCCCTCATGGAGGAGGTGACAATTGAGTTAAGACCTGGAGGACCTGAGGAAGCAGACTGTGCAGATATCTGGGGCAAAAGGTCTCCAAGCAGAAGGCACAGCAGGTACAAAGATAGGACAGTTGGCATGTGGAAGAGACAGCAGGGAGGCCAGTGTGGCTGGAGCCAAATGAGGCAGGGGCAGAGTGGAAGGGCGTGAGGTTGAGAGGCTGTGCAGCGCTGTTGAAAGAACCACGCTCAGACTCTGAGTAAGATGGGGAGCTGTTGCAGAATTAGAATCCCAGCTCTCCCACTTCCTAACTCTGGGGCCTTGGGCATGCTCCTTCACCTCTCTGAGCTTCATTTTCCTCTTCTATAAGATGGGGGAAATGATGGAACTCATTTCCTCAGGGTTTTTGTGAGACTTAAATGAGCTGTTATATTCGTATATGTGAGACATTGAAAGCCACATCTGAGACCTCTCTAGCTCTTTTTCTTTTATTGGTCTGTTTCTCTTAGCCTCCCACCCATCTGTCTTTGTTTACTCCCTCCCACCCTTTATGGCTTCCCTTTTGCCTTTTCCCTTGCCTCCCCCTGTCTCTCTTCACTTCCTCAATCTTAGTCTCTCTCTTGTATCTCACACAAGGCATGGTAGTGTTGGGAGGCTGGATTGTGGGAGAAAATATTAAGAGTAATGGAGTCTAGAGGCAATACAATGGTTTTTATGTTTAGAGAAAATACATGTGTGGAATTTAATTTGAAACCTCCTACATCTTAAAGATTGCTTACTAATTAGAAAAATGTTTAAGCCCTATGAAGTCCTGTCCCCACCCCCAAATCCCACATCCGTAGGCCAATGACTCATGCACCACCTGTTTTCAACCTATGACCTAGTCCAATGCCTTCACTTTTCAAACAGGGAAATTGAGACCTGGAGAGATGAGTGACATGCCTTAAGTCACACAGCTTATTAGTAGCAGAACTAATTTTCTCAATGTTCTCTTTGACATCTGAAAGCCACAGCAATGAATATTTCACTATCCCACTGGGAAGAGCCAATCCTCAAACTGTGGAGACTTTGGACTTAGAGTGGGAAAGGCATTAGAGCCCATCAGCTGTCCCGATGACACCAGCCTGTTGGGGTCAGCGCTGAAGAAGGGACTCTGGGTAATTAGAGCCAGGTCTGTGTGTGTCTGTGGGGGACAAATCTCACCATATCCTGAAGAAAAACATGGAAATGCCTGTGTGCTATGGTTAGCAGTGCATTAAAGCCACATGCTGGGGAAGACACTATAGCCTATAGCATGGCCCTGAGACCTGGGCAAGAGTGACTCCAGCCCTGAGCTCTGTGCTTTAGAGGGCTCTACTCTGGACCCCATTTGGTCATATCCTCCCTACAGGATGAGGTAATGCCATCCCATAGCATCAAGGAGCAGGCCCACCAAGAGTCCACACTCCCATTTGGAACACACCCTGGGTACTAAGATCACAGCGTCCTCCGCCCAAACTGCTTGGAGCCTGCTTCTAGGGCAGCATCAGTAGTGTTCCGGGTCTGTCACCCTGAGGGTAGGCTGTGCCATGTGTATGTGGGGCCCCTGGGCTCAAGTGGTTGCTCTTTTGGGAGCGTAGATGAATAGCTTGGGTGTAGCCTGAGGTGGGGAGAGAAGACAGAATCCGTGGGACAGGCTCGGGGGTGAGAGGCGGCTTCTCCTGTCCGCTCCCATTTCAGATGGAGCTCTTAAGCACCCAAGAATGTTAAATTCAAACCGGGCCTTTGAGATTGTTAGAAAGGTATATTTGTCAAGGCAGGAGGATTAAACATTTTATTCAGTGGCTTGTTGGTTATGACTAAAACATTTAGACATGGGGTATATGGGCCTCCATGGGAACCCTTGTTCCAAGCCCTGACTGAGGTAGAGGCTGGCTTGGTGAACAGGATTTGCTGTCGCTCCTGATATCTGCAGCTCTCCTGTGATGAGGAGATTGGCCTAATCATGATTATCATTTTGCACCTCGTTCTGAAATATTTCAGCCTGGAATGTTTAAGTGTTAAAATGAACAAATGATTGTTCAGGGGCAACCGACTTGGATTGAATTCAGAGAATTGTTTAAAAAAATGTTCTTTATCTTGGCACACTGTTTGCACTCAATATATTTTAAAGCATAATAATAACTTCTGAAAATAATTATAATTTCCTCATTATTCAGAGAAGGACAGCCGGTACCCCAGAGATAGCACTGCTGTTGCCAAGAGCTTTTGGGAAAATACAATGCTTTCTGATCGTTCAAGGATATTTTCACCTTTGAGGCAGGCTCAGGCCCAGAAAAATCTTTTCTTCTGCAATTGGGCCACCGTGGAAAGCAGTGGCCCTTTCCTGAGGTCTGCAGTTGGCTAATGTCTTAGTCTCATCTCACCTGTCAGGTAAGAAGGAAGCAGAAAACCTTAGGATCGTTGTTACCATCTTGCTGGACATTTTACTCTGCTGAGGCCTGACAGCTAATTAAAAATAGCACAGCTGAATGTCAATGACTAATTACAGGACGGGAAACCTTCAACTCTGAAAATCGATTCTGAGCCTGATGTTGGAGTCACAATCGCATGGATTTCTGATTTATTTATTTATTTTTGTGCATTGTGTTGTCTCTGGTCTTAGATTCTTTATAGCAGTAGGTGGGGGGTAAGTCTTGGCTGTCCTGCAGTTTCTGATGAGTTGTGGGTGTGAGAGATGAAAGCAGAAAATGAGTGAGATGCTAGATTACTCCCCACCTCTCAGCTAATTGTTTCATCTTCCTCCCTTTTTAGATTTTTTTTTCTCAAACCAGCATCACTTATATAACAGAGCTGGGCTGGGCTTTCTCCTTTCTCTGTCTGACAGATATGCTAACAGATAATAAACTGGTCTCAGGTAGGAGAAGCGAAGAGCATGGGGGAATTCATTAACTTAATAATCACTCTCTAAATAATTCATAATGATAACCTGGTTTTCTCATCAGCAAAATGAGAATAATCATATCCACTCCATAGGGTGATTGTGATAATTAAATGAAATTATATATGTAAAGGCTTGGAACTATTGACAATCTGGGCTTGATAATTCTTTGTTGTGGAAGGGTTGTCCTGTGCATTGCAGTAGGATGATTAGCAGTATCCCTGACATCTACCCGTTAGATGCCAGTAGCGCTCTCCTGCTCCCAAGTTGTGACAATCAAAAATGTCTCTAGACATTGTCAAATGTCCCTTTTGGGGCAAAATTGCTCTCCCTATTAAGAATCACAGCTCTAGCATAATGTCTGGCACATAGCACTTTTGAAATATTACAGCATTTATTGTTAAAGGGAAAGTGGGAGCAGGTAAAGGGGTCAAATAAAGTACAACTGCAGAGTGTTTAATGGACTTGGAAATTAGGAGGCTGCTGGTGACCTTAACGAAGCGTGTTAGTAGTTAAGAGTGGGTGGGAGCTGAAAAAGTGGAGAAAGGAAGGACTAGAAGATTACTGCTGGTATTTCTCTTTCAAGATTCATTATATAAAACACCACTTACAAATTTTAATGAGCCTTTGAATTTCTTACAAAGTAATGCTGTATCTTGGTCTTTATAGTTTATTTAGCATCTCTTAGAATGAAAGCATAATCTATTTTAAAAAGCAGGGACAGAGCCAGCTGAGTGGCTCAGTTGGTTAAGAGCTCGCTCAAGAGCGAGAGCTAAGCAACAGCGGTTCAATTCCCGGCCCGAGCTGAGTTGCCGCTGAGCTGCCAACAGGTGGCAGGATGGCTCAGCTAAAAAGCAGGGACAAAGAGCAGTCAGGCCCGCATCAGCTATGACATACATCCTGTTTACTGATATTCAGTTCCTCAGTTCTGAACTATAGCCTGCTTGGAATACTTGTAGGGTGCCTCTTTGGCACCTGGTTTCATACCAGGCTCCCACTGAATTTGTTAGGAGGATACTTATTAAGATTTACAGGGCTGTAATTATTTTTTCTCTTTCCTTAAGGATATGAGGTAAGCAAAAAATCACACACACACACACACACACACACACACACAAATCCCAAAACACCGTTAGTTCTCTACCGCCTTCTGAAGACCATAGTCACTACCCCTTCTGACTGCCCTTTACACATATTGTCTCATTTTAGTATTTATAGCAGCCCAGAAGGTAGATACTGATATCATCCTTTTTGGATTAAAAAACTGAGACAGAAGTTCAGTAACTTTTCCAAGATTATACAATGTGTAGGGGCCTCCATTGAGCCCAGGTTTGATCTCAGGTCTCCCTAAGTTAAAAACTCACAACTTATTTAATGTGTTTATGCAGGGAGTGAAGTTGATGTGGCAGTTATTTTCAGGTAGAAATGGTTTTTCCTAAACATAGAACAAAACACCTTGATAGCCGGGTTCCATGGCCAAACCACTTGTATCAATAGATTCCTGTCTTTTGCCTCTCTAATCTTTTACTCAGTTACATCCTGACCTCTAGTCTCAGAGCTTTTCTGGTTCTGGGCTTCAGGGCAGACTTGCTATATGGCTTGAGAAAATTAATAATTATAGCTAACATTTGTAAACATTACCATATTTAAACCATATAATAACCTGAAAAAGGAAGTAGGTGCTATTATCTCCATTTTTGCAGATGAAGAAAGTAACAGAAAGGTTAAATATCTTGCTGAGGTCATATACCAATAAATGATGGAGCTGATTCAACTCTAGATCTGTTTCCAGAGTTCGTGTTCCTAACTATTCCACGACTGGGGTGAGGGAGACAAACCTGAAATAGGGACTAATTTTAAAACCTCTTCTTTTCAGAGCGTCTTGTGCACATCACCTGATTGAGCTCAGCGAAGTTAATGCAGGTGCACACTGCACATAGAAACAGTGGGAGTTACATTGTCATTATTACTAAAGGTAGTCTTTAGCATTTCTATGGCATTCTATTATTGCAAATTGCTTTCTAGTTTATTTTCCTAATGAAGATTCAGAAGTGCATTGGAATACAAAATATATTTATATATTTGGGCACATTTACATTGTTGGCAAGTGTATGGAGAAAAACCACAGTTGGTTACTGAGACTTCATAGCTAAGGTAATATACTTTATTAAAAAATTAATCCTGCTCAGTAAAGTAGAGCATCCCCCATTTTTCATCACAACCTCTAAGGACTGAGCATCTTATTATTCTAATCAGGGATAAATGGGGAACTCAATGGATCAGTCAATCAACAAGCAAATATTGATGATAAACTTTAATGTATTAGAAATTGAATTTAGTATCGGGTAAAGCCTATTCAGTATTTGCTTTAAGTCAGATTTCATAATGAGCAGCCTTCTGTATAGATGCTTTGGTATCAGGCATTCATTTAGATACTGCAACTATTTTCCTAGTTCAACACCATGCTCACTGCTAACCAGGCAGATCCTTGAAAATGTTCAGCTATAAATATCAAGTGAGTAAGAATCTTTCTCATATTGTATCTGCTTCTCTTGGGCTACAAGAGATTTAACCAATGCTGTGTTAAGCAGTGATTCTTCACTCTTATCCAAGGATGGTCATCTTACAGACCTTTTAGTATTAGTAAGCAAAAGGCTTCACTTATAAAGTGCAAACAGGTATGCAGAATGAGATTAGAATCCAAGTTCTACTTTGCTATTGCTGCATTATCATTTGTGCATGCATTTTAATAAAAATTTGATTAAAGTAAATGCAAGAACTGAAATAAATACCTAATTGCAACAACTTCCGTGGACCCAATAAGCTACAGAAGTAATGAAAGTCCCACAATTAAACAACAATAATACCCTGAAAATCATATGCCATCATTAAAGAAAACATACACAATCATCATCTCAAGTACTGCATATCTCTGTTGGAAATAATTGAATTCTGACTTGGAAACAGCCTGGCTTTAAATAGACCATTGAAAACAGTGCCTCTCCAAACCCTCAGCCCTGGATTACCAGGGTGCTGAACTGGGGGAGTTTAAAATAACAGACCCTTACAATTAAGTAAAACCCTTAAGAGGAATACAGTCAATTTCCATACAAACCCCAGGAATAGTAACAGCGTTTTATTTCCATCTTTAAATTCTGCCTTGATATAGTTTCTAGAGCCCATGAGGATCTAATTTTTTTGGGAAAAAAGAGAACAGGTTTCTACTGCCCCAAACATGAGGGAAAAAATGAGAACAGCTTCCTCAGGGTTTCAGGTTTTTAAATAAGAGAGGATACAGAGTTTTAATGAATATTCTTAGAAAACCACAGAACCCCAAACTGATTAAATAACCTTCCAGGAAAACACTGTGTATTGAAGTAGAAAAGAAAAGAAAAATTACTTACCCTGAAAATGTCTTCTGATTTCTGGAGACTGAAGTTTAGCACCTCCGCTCCTGTAGCCATTTACTGCCAGCGGACATGCTCAAGCAAAGCAAACTTTGCCTTTCCTAGGACACAGAAACTGTTGAAATGAACAGAAAGAAAATCACCCATTTTTGCCTCGAAGGTGAAATCACTTGTATGCTGCTCTTCCAGCTTCCCTATTAGACCTTACTGCATGTTTCTTAGCTGCTTTCGAATGCATCCGTTATCTCTAGAGGATTTGGGAGGGACCCTTAATGTTGGCTGGGGCTGCCCTTCAGAGGCTCTGTCCTTGGTGCTGAAAGTGAGGTTGAGTAGGCAGATGAAGGATCCGTTTTCTACCTTCCTCTACTCTTCCCTCTGTGCCTCTGTCTGCTCCGTGCTATGCTTTTAAGCACATCTGTACTTTTCCCTCAGTGCTCGTTTTAATCCTACTTTCCCACTGCCTTTACTTCTATGCTTTAATTTCTTCATCTTCTTCGGCTGAATTGCCATCCCAGCTTTTGGTGGATATAACAATGATTGGGTCAGCAGAAGGAACAGATCAACGAATTGAGACCACAAATGGTTAATAGAAATCAGTACAATTTAAAACACAATTGACAGAATAATTGAACTTGGAGGTGTAAGCCTGTGTGGGAAAAAGAAGGTTAAAGGAAATATGTTGCAGTGGAAGCAAAACTGAGGTGTAGAGTATAACTGGTGATAAAGGTAAAATACCGGTAAGCTTAATATTGTGAGAAAGGTTAAGTGTTCATTTAGCAGCACTCTTTGTTTTCAGAGAACTTCATAAAATATTTGCCTATTCATTTTTACTGCCCCTCTGAGGTATATTTGATTAATTTTTATTAACTCAACTTCAGAATTGGCTAAAGTGAGATGCAGCTTAGGGCAATGTCAGTTGAAAGTCAGTTTCCAAAGCAGTGCTAGAACTTAGGCAATCTCAATTCATGGTCAGTCACCTGTTCAGATAACATTTTACCATGGAATCCTAACTATTCTCTGTTCTCTTGTTTCGATTTCTTCTCCTTCTGTCAGACAGCATGGTAATTCTTCCACTGCGTTCTCTGACAACAGTGGATGTGCTTGGCAGCTGCAGTGCAGACTGTCGTGGGGAAGCCAGTCTAAGTTTGACTATGATGGAGACCTCTGCTGGCTGAGAAAGAGGCAGCAGCAGCAGCAAAGTCTAAATACTGCTGTTAATATCATTTATTGAGCATGTACTATTAGGCAGTCATTTTAATGCATTCCATCTTTTAATAATTTCAACAACCCTAAAAGGTACATAATATTTGACATCGCTAATTTATAGATAGAAAAATTGAGAGTTAGAGAAGTTAAAATAATTTTTGAAGGTCACACAGCTAACAAATACTGGAGCCAAGATTTGGATCTAGACATCTTAATTGTGGAGCATGTTCTCTTACCCACTATACAATAATTCTTCAAAAGGTGTAAAATTTATATTTCCTAAGACACTGACAATATGTTATAGAGTATAATAATTATAATGACAAAATGATATCAATGATACAATATTTGTATGGTGATATAATTTATAATGCATTTTCTAATTCATGTTCTTGTCTGCATCTTACATAAATCCTCATGATACACATTTTTACAGAGGCTGTTATGGATTTAATTATACTCTCCTCCTCATCCATATATTGAAGCCTTAGCCTCAGAATGTGACTGACTACATGTGGAGATAAGGTCTTTAAAGAGGTGATTAAGTTAAAATGAGGCCATTATGGTATGCCCTCAGCCAATATGACTGGTATCTTTATAAAAAGAGAAACAGATACAAGGGAGACACACAGAGAGAAAAGGCCATGTGGGGACACAGCAAGATGGGAGCCATCTGCAAGCCAAGGAGAGAGGCCTCAGGAAAAATCAAATCTGCTGACATGTTGATCTTGACCATGTAGCCTCCAGAAAAGAAAATTAATTTATGTTGTTTAAGCCACCTAGTTTATGGGATTTTGTTATGACAGCCTTAGAAAACTAATACAGAGGCTTAGAGAGGTTAGGTACCATATTGAAAGTTGCTCATGATTTATAGCACATAAATATATTGTTATGTGGCATAACTATATTGAACATGCCCTAAGACTGGAACTCCCAGCCTGAATGTGAACCCATCTCTTCTTCCCTTGGGTTAGGGGACCAAGAGATTATGCACTGTCTAGGGTTGGCATGTCTAGGATATAAAAACAGAAAGCATGTAAGTAGAACAATGCAGAGGCATATTGCAGAGTTCAGAATTTTAATTGCTCACTTTCGGCCTCATGGTTCCACCTTATCTTATGTTTATTTCCTTTAACATTTGTACATTTTGAGGATATTGTGTCTAATGCTTATGCTGCCCTGATAATACATGAACATAGCAGCAAAGTCCGTATTACTAAATGTTCTCTGTTGAGATCACATGGTGTATCCTTACAGGGGAGCTATAAGTGTTGCTGGCATAATTTTCCTTAGCATTTTTGTAATGCTTTTCTTTGACAAAGTCCAAAGGAAGATAAGAAAAGATAAAGACTATCATTCTAATTCTATATAGAAGCAACAGATAAAGAAATTAGCTGACATACCCAAAGTCTCACAGCCAGGCACTCATCTGAGTCTCGACTCAGAGTCTCTGGTCGACTCCTCGACTGCCGTGGTGCATCAAAAGGGATTGGTGTAAGGAAAGGAAGGCAGGTGGTGAGGAAGGTGGACCTTTCTCTCAGGACATCAGTGTAGGTGAATATCAATAATTGCTCCTTTTAATCTGGCATATTTTATTCATATTCACAATATTGAACAAATTTCATTCTTTTAAGTAAATTGAACTCTTATGCATGGTTGGCATTGAAGATTTTGAGATCTTCCTCCTGGGAAGAACTCTGGAACACCTATAGAACAGACATGCTTTGGCAGAAATCAAGAAAAATGTAGATCCTTTTTCTCATCTCTCTTCCAGGAACCCGTGTTTCAGTAGCATGACCGGAACATGCTCATGGAGCAGCCAACAGTGCTTCATCAGGGAAGTCTTTGTCTTTTGAACCTGAAATGGAAGGTTTAGAGGTAGAGTTAAGAGGTGTGAGTGTCTAATATATAGGCATGCTCAGTGGCTTTATTTGAAAGGGAATTAGTGTGCAGTTTGTGGTGAAAAATATTCCTTTCTATCCTACTGCCCCAAGATAGAAATTCTTTGGTTTCATCACAGGAATCTTGACTTTAGCATCAAACATTGACGGCAACAGGACTTTCTCACACCACTTTAAACCTCCTCAGAGCTCGCATCAGCAGGACAGTGTGGAGAACAAATGAGGCAGTGTGGGGAGCCAATTTGCAGGGCCCTGTATAACAGAGAGACATTTTGTTTTTATGTCTTACCAAAACTGGCATTTTTCACTGTAAATTGGTAGATTAAAATTGATGATCTTAAATTGTATGGATACTTATCTAGTCTTAAGAACAGCCCCTCGGTGTATTTTTCACTGGAATCAGATCTCAGGTAGAGAGTAAATGTAAGTTGGCAAATGCAATAAGTGGACCAGGCAATATGGTTGCTTCTTTCCAACCCCAGCTCCCACTCTTCTTCAATGACACTATGGTTTGGCCATAGATGAGTACTGTCTGAGAGAGCCCTATGTTTTATGTTTGAATTCACTCTGCTGTTGTAAAACATTTACTGAAAGAAAAGAATAGCCTAATTCATTTATTTTTGTCCAGTACTGGGCTCCAGTGTTGTTTCCTTTCTACCAGAGAACTGCAGTAAATAACAGAGGAAGCTTCCCAACCAGTCTGGGACCCACTCCACTCTTTTATAGGTAGCAGAATAAGAGTAGGGAAGGGAGTAAAAAAGTGACATTTGTCTCTGTATTTACATCTGCTTTTCTGTGTGCTTGCACCTTACTTCCTTCTTCACATTTCCACCTATTTTCTTCCTACACTCCATCAGATAATATTATATTTTTCTACCATTTCCTCAATTTCTTCCAATCGAGTCTATTTTTTTTCTTCTTTTCAAAAATATATATAAATAAGAATGGGGATAGGCTAGAATTAGAAAATTTTGTATCTTAGTTAATTTATCATTTGTTCCAAAAACATTTGGGCTTTATGAGTATGGCAGATTGTATTTTCTAAAGATGACCACAATTATATCTCCTATCCCTCATATTCTTTTAGTTTTGTTTTGTTTTTTTTTTTAGCTGAGCCATCCTGCCACCTGTTGGCAGCTCAGCGGCAGCTCAGCTCGGGCCAGGAATCAAACTGCTGTTGCTCAGAGTTGGCACTCTTGAGCGAGCTTTTAACCAACTGAGCCACTCGGCTGGCCCCCTCATGCTCTTCTTGAACCTTGCCACTCCATCATCAAGAGGTAGAGTCTTACGTCTCTCTTTTTGAACCTGATAGGCCTTTGCAACTGCCTCAGCAAATAGAGTATGACAGAAGTAATGTTATGTGATTTCTGAGGCTAGGACATAAAAATGCTCTACACTTATTCCTATTTTTTTTCTTGAGACACTTGCTCTTATGACGCAGAAGCTTAAGCAGCCCCTGCAGAGACCCACATGGAGAAGAACCAAGATGGTATCACAGCCCTGGCCGAACTTCCACCTAAAAGTGAGCATCAACTTGGCAGCCATAGAGTGAGTCATTCTGAAAGTGGCTCCTCTAATCTCCGTTTGAGCCATCCCAGTTGAGGCCAAGTAGAACAGAGATAAGCGATCTCTGTAAATCTCTGTCCAAATTTCAGATTCATAAGCAAAATAAATATTTGCATTGTTTTAAGCCAATAATTTTATTGTGTAATGATAGATAGTAAATACACCGAGACTCAATTTTTCTAGAACTTGTAATATTTAGTGTTCAGAAGAGCACATCTCAAATTCTATCAAACCTCATCACATTTTGAAGCAATTGCCCTTTTATTATTTAGTGTGTGTGTTTTTTTTTAATCTCAGATGCTGTTTATCTTGCAAATTTTATAAAATCTTGTTCCTTAGAGCAGGGGCCATGGACCAGGACCAGCAGTAGAAGCTTTACTCCAGAAGTTGTTAGAAATGGAGAATCTTAGGCCCCACCCCAGACTTACCAAATTCAGAATCTGCATTTTAACAAGATGCCCAGGTTATTTATTAGAGTTTGAGAAGCACTGATATAAAGAACAAGCCTGTAAAATAGATGCAGCTATAGACACTAGAGAAAGAATTTATTATTTACTTCCCACTTGCTTTTATTGTCCCCCTGGAAATCAGGAGGCTGCATGTGTGGGGGGTGAAGGATGACGGAGATAGAGAAGTGTATGCCAGAAGTAGGAATGGCTGGGAAAGCAAGGATCTGAGAGTGC